GTCTATCCTCTTAGGTTCAGTAATGGGGGCCTGCAAATGTGACTGACAGAAGACAGATCAATAGGAGAAAAGGCATATGATTTATATTGATATCAATATTTTTTACATGCATAGGTGTTTCACAGAAAAGAAGTGAAACCCCAAAGAAGTGGTTAGGTTTGGGAGCCTGTATATTCTTCCTAAGAAAGAAAAAGGGGTTGAGCTTCAAGAGATAATAAATTGTGGAAGATGACTAGGGATTATACAGGAAAACTTCTGAAATATAAGGGCTACATTAATAAGGTTTGTTCATGCAGACTCATCTCAGTGCCGGCTCTCCATCTCCAGTAATAAAATTGGTTCTCTCATCCTGCTCAAGAGAGGGGATAAATTTGTGCTCTGCCTTTAGGCAGATAGGAGGAAGGCAGAAAACTCTTTATGTCCTTGTTGACCCTCAACTGCCTTCAGCTTAAAAGAATACTTGTGCCAAGTGGGACATTTTAGGGTGGCATATTCTGATCCTCGTCACTGCCCTTCAATCCTCCTCTGCCCATCTATATAAGATAAATCTTTATTTTTCAAAATTACCTTAAATTCCTAGTTGCCACTTGTTTTTAAATTTTCTAGTTACCATAGCCTGAAATTGTTCATGGAATCTGATCTTCATTCATTCATTTACTTACTGTCTTATTTTTTGAGCTCTGCTCCTGCCCCAAACACATGTATATCCTCTGCTTATTAGGAAACCACCAGATCCACCCTGATGGGGTTAGAGAGGGTGGGGTAGGGAACACAAACCATACAAATGCAAAAACTCAAAAGAATTCATAAATCGACCTAATTTTATGGCATCCAACCCAACCTCTCATTTTATGGATAAAGGACTGAGGTTAAGGAACTTGTTCTAGGTCACAGATTTATTCAATAGCAGACCCGAAACTAGAATCTAAGTCTCCTCTTTTCTAGCCTGGAGCCTTCCCAGGCTGGGAAACAGATAACAATTATTTATTAGCATAGACTCCTGAGCTACAGTAAAAAGACTTCCGTATGGCCACCTTCTACTTCTAGGCAGAGGAGTATCCTTAGCTCGTGCTTTGATAGCCACCTTCCCCAGCTGTAGATGAAAATAAAATCAGTCATTTAATGAGCATATGCTATATGCAGCCACTTTCTGGATATTATCACCAATCCTCCCTGAAATGCTGCAAATAGTTGTTTGACCCTGACACCTTTTAGCATATGAGAAAACGGGCTTTGGCTCTAAGTGACAGAATGCAATCTCACAGCCAGGAAATGGAGAAGCTGAGATTCAACTCTGGTCAGTTTGAAAGCCCCTACCCCTTTTGCAAAAAGAAATAGAATGCCAGAACAGCTGCAATGCAGATGCCCAGGCCTGCTCACTTTGCCTCTGAGGGCCTCCTGGCCAGAACAAGAGGTGGCCGGGAATTTGAGCCTGCTTAGTGTTTGTGACAGATAGATCAGGTAGGGCATTGTTCTGTTTCTGGGGTAGACAGAATTTTCTAGGTAATAAAATGGTGAGAAGGAAGAATACTGGGAGGAGGGTGTATTGAGCTATCCCTTCTCCCCTGGCAGTGTTTGGAGGTTTGTAAATATAGTCTCCTTTCCTCAGAAGAGCACACGTTTTAATTTTGTTGACATGTTGCGGATGGGCTTTGAAGATACAACGGGGTAGAAAATGGGTAAAGTATGCACACAGATAGTGAGAAAAAGAAAAAGAAGGTTTAAGCCAATCAGGATTGAAATATTGCCTAAGTACTTTTTAAATTTATATAACTCTTTGTTAAGAAAAGGAAATATAATATTATTATACAGGAAAATGTACACAGCTCAAAGAATTTGCGTGACCACATCTGTCTAATCAGTTCCCAGATAAAGACACAAAACTTTGCCAGATCCCCATAAAGCTTACCTTCTAGTCATTCTGACTTCATAAAAATAGATGGAATTATACAACATGTGCTTTTAATATCTGCTTTCTTTCTCTCAAGACTGTGTTTGAAAGATTCATCCATGTTATGGGTAGAGCTTGTCTGATGTCATTGTGTTGTGGTATGCCATTGTATGAAAATTCACAATTAATTTATCCATTCTACTTTTAATGGCTATTTGGAATATTTTTAATTGGAGCTATTACAAATACTGCTATTATAACTGTTTTCATACATGTGTTTTAGCAATTCTATGTACACATTTCTGTTGTGTATACAACAAAGAGTGAAATTGTTGGGATGGGGATGCATATGATCAACTTTAGAAATACTGCCCAGTTGTTCTCTGAAATGGTTGTACAATTTACACTACCTTCAGCAGTTTATAAAAGCTCCTGTTTATCCATATTCTCACCAACACCTGGTATTGTCTTTTTAGTTTTAGCCAGTGTGTTGCATTGTGTAGCAGTATCACGGTTTCATTCTAATTTATGTATCTTAGATCAAATTAAGGATAATTGACATCTCTACAAAATAGTCTTCTGATACATGAACATGAAACATCTCCAAATTTGTGAGTTCTCTCTTAGTTTCTCTCAATAACGTTTTATATTTTTAGTATAAACGTCATATTTTTCATTACACTTATTGATGCTATTTTAATGATATTTCTATTTTATTGGGGTTAAACTAACAAAAAGAAAAATGCACAAATCAGTTGAGTGTATGTTTTGATATGTGTATGAACCCGGGTAACTGCCACCCACTAGACTGAGAACTTATCCAGAATCTCAGAAAACTTCATGATATCCCCTTCCAATCCGTACTCTCCCCAGTGATGGCCAAGATTTTGACTTCTATCCAACAGGCTAGAATTACCCCTGGCCTTTCAGTTTTTAACTCTCTATCTGATGTGTTTGCCAGAGGCCCTCCACCTGGCAGGTTGCAAACTCCATTCATTGTTTCATAAACCTACTAAAAACTCCATTCGACTTTTCAAAGACTTTCGGCTTAGGTATTTAATATCCTGACCTGACCATTCCTAGAATTCATTAAATGTTCCAAGTGGAATGTCAACCACTTGCTTAAAGACCGCCCCCCAGAGCACCCATAAATTCTCTTGGTCTCTCTGTCCCTAGCAATGGTCCTCCACAGTAGAAAGCTTTGGTTTTCATTCTTCTGCTTTTGTCCAGAATCCACAGATTATCCCAGGTAAACATTTGTTGGCTCACCTCTCTGAGGCTGTCCTATCTCTGGAGTTGGAGGGTCCCCGGGTGGGTACAGATAGTTTGTAATTTGGTCTAGATGTACACTAGGCTGCTGACTTGCCACAGGCTGTCCTGTTCCACCTGGAGGCAGTTCTTTCTTCTGTACTTTTGAAAAGCTAGTCACTGCACATTTGGTGATAGAGAGCTAAACAAGACTCCTGTGCTTTCAGGGCTCATAATTTAACTTTTATGTGTTTAATTATGGCTGGGATTTTGACATAAGCCAATGTTGTTTTGTGAACTTCTGAAGGGTGGAATTACATAAAATAATTTCTTCATAAGGGGGAATGGATGCCCACCTAGTCATGCAGAGATGGGACTTTAAACATGGGTATCTCCCCTTCCTCACTGAGTTAATAACTGAGACACAGATCACAGCAGAAATATTCATTGTTTCAATCACCCCTATCTGTCCAATTAGCTGAAGACCATGCAAATCTATCAGCCTGGAACTCAAAAGTCTGTGGGAAGACTTGCCAAGGCCTTCCTGGGAGACATGAAAATGACATGAAACCCCTGAAAAATAGTGTGTCCAAGAAACTGAATAGGGCTTAGATGGAAGGAAGCCAGGAAGGGGACTGCTAAGACAGACCGGCCTCTGTACTTGACAGAGGGGAGTTATTTTAGGATGCAGGGATTGGGGCAAAGAAAGGCTGTCAGTGAATTCTTAGGGCTAGAAGCATTCTTTTTGAATCTTAATTGTTTTTACAATACTTTGACTTTCCCGGTTAATGTTGGTACCCACTAAGTTTTAAGTAACTACTACTTGGAAATATCAGCCATGGATAGCTACTTTAAGGGGAAGTAGAGAAGGTGGCCATTTGTTCCTTTTTAGGCTAGTGTGTTAAGTGAGAAAGCAATTTATGCTTGATGGTGGCAACTGAAACTGAGTGACCAAATCCCAGGAAAAGAATAAAGCTCAAGGGGAGAAAATCGGACTCTGTTCAACTACTCCTTCCTACTCAGGGTCTCCTCTTCAAATACTTTTCTTTCTTTATATCTGGGAGGTATGCTGCTTCTTTCCAATATAGGCAGCTGGTCTCACACGTGGGTCAGGAAGCCAGTTGTAAAAACAGGTTTCTTTCATAAGCTGCGTAAAGTCAGACTAACTGACAAAACCAGGCCCTGTGTACTTTGTACAAACTCTGTACGTGGCCATCCCTGGAACAACATTTCCCTGTGTAAGGAAATGACTTTGACTTCCAAAGAGTACACTGAGACACAGGATAAACTGACTCTGGATAGCTCTGGAAATCCAGCATGGCAGAGTGGAAAACTAAGGTCATTCTAGAACTTGCTACATCTCAGATGAGTGGGTATGAATAAGTAAGTGAATGAGCGTGAGTTAATGAATGAACAAAAACATAAACAAATATGTGAAAAAGTCATTTGCACATGTTTGTAGAAATGTTTTCAGGACTCAGGCCAGTTATGTATGCTTTGTGTGCTTTTTCAGAATGACAACTTCCAAGAGGAAAAAACTGCATTCATCAGGTGGGCTGGGCTTCTAATGGTAGGAGCTAAATTTTCCTCCTTTTTGATCTTCCCTAGATGGGATTAGTTATGCAAGACTCTATTAAACTTTTGTCAATGAGTTGCTGGGCTTGTTTTCTGTCCTCCTTTACCTGAGATATGTCTGGATATGTTTCCCCATTGTTGGTTACCAGAGAGTAACTGTGTCCGTAAGAGTGACTTCCTGAACTCCCAGGCATGTGTGTACTTGCACCTTCACTTCCCTAAAATGTTCCCTCTCTGAATGAATGAATGAATCACAGAATGGGACTGGGAGTGGACAATTAGCCCAGGAAGCAGACACATTTATTACATGAAGCACATTATTTATTGGGGAAAACAGGAGAGAAGCCCAGATTAGGGGGCATCAGGGAGAGGAATGAGGCAGAAACTGTGTGCCAGTCTCTGTGACCCTACTTGTCAGGGTGGAACCCCAGAAAAAGCCCAGACACTTTCCTCACTTTGGGGAATGGATGGGCCTTAGATGTGGCCATGCTGGAGCCTGGAGAGGATGAGGTCTCTCTCATGCCTACCTGGGAGAGCATCAGGGTGGGATATGGAAGAAGCCAAGGTGGTATGTGTGGGGAGGGGTATGATGGGAAGAAATCCTTACAGAGCTTCCTTACATCTTGGGCAGGAGGAGATGGGAGAGGAGGGTAGGCTCAAGAGCTGGAGGGAAGAAGAGAAGGAAGAAGAGAAGGTTCCATCTGATAGCCAGGATGGTGGAGTATGGTAATATCCAGTCCATCCTTACTTCTGTTTACTCTTGGGGGCTTGCTGGGCTGAGGGACACTTCTGCTGGGCTGGAATGATGGTGCCCTTCGGTGGGCATTGCTTCTTGACCTGGGGAGCACATGGATCCTTGGTTTCGGGTGCACATGTCTCTTGACATTTAACAGGGGGTGGCTGACAAGGTTGCTTCACTTGCTGCTGCTGGGCCCTCTGGGGTAGGCCGTGCTGCTGCTGCTGCTGCTGCTGTGAAGACATTGCTCTAGGAACAGGTGAGCCTAAAGGAAACCGGGCAGGGACACTATGAGAAGCATGTCCGATGATTAAAAAGTATCCCAGACATTTTACAAGGTCAAAGCATGCCATCTTAGCTGACAGATCTGGACAATGTCAACTGGTTCCCTTGGATAATGCAGACAATAAGAATGGGCAAGGATGTAGGGGCATGAGGAGAGAACAAGAACAATCTCTCTTACAGGGAAGCATCGTGGTGTGTATGTGTGTGTGTGAGAGAGAGAGAGATTGGGCTGGACAAGGGGTATACCAAGATTGCAGAGGCCTGATCTCTAATCCTTGCTCCACCCCTGACTCACCATGGGAGGCTAAGGCAAGTCCTATATGGCTATAGGATAGTGGTTCCAGCCCTCTACAAAGAACTGGGAAGCTTAAGGGCCAGCCAAATAGATCACTGGAGCCAAAGGATGATAGGAGGATGTTCAAAGGAAAGAGCACTAGCCAAGAAGGCTCAGGCTTGGGTTCTAGGTCCATCCTGCCATTCACTGCATGGGCAACCTGCCTTCTCTGGGCCTCAGCACCTTTATTAGAAGGATGCTGGTCAGGAAGTTCCCTGAAGCCTTCCCAGCTCTGATGAGTGTCTCTGGCTATCTTTGTAGGCAGTGTTCCTTATGGTCTAAGTTAATGATTATAGATGGGAAGTGCAGGCCTCAGAAAGTAAAGAGGTGGCAATCAGAATAGGGAAGAATGGGAGCTGCATAGGATTGAAGACAATGTTTAATATACCTGTTTCCATACACCTGGAAGAAAAGTTTAAAGCTTTACCTTCCATACACCTGAAGAAAAGTTTAAAAGCTTACTGGTAAGGAAAATGTAGAATAGGGTGTGAGAAAGTTTTAAACAGGCTCAGAATTGCCACAATAAAATTCTAGCTCTAAATATCTCTTCCTTCAACAAGAAAAATCTTCTTGCTGGGGAGTCAAACCAATGATCAGAAAGAAGTCATACCAAGCGAGCAATGGTGTGGAATGGAGATTAAACTTTCTAAGTAATGAGATTAGTGGGCCCTGTCTGCAATTGTCAGAGACTTGTGCTACTTCCCTGATTACCCAAGGATAGTAGAGGACTTGGCCTAGTGGCTCAAAGGAGTTAAAGGAGAAAGAAAGAGCCCCACAAATCCCAGGAGAACAGATGAGTTCCCACTTACCAGAGGCAGCAAGCTGGACCCCAGGAGAGGAGGCTGAGCCCTGTTCCATAGGCAGCCACTCCAGGAGCCTTTATAGGGCCCCCCAACTCCTTGCCCAGGCACTTGGTGTGGTCCTTGATTACCACCTCCCAGAGAATTCTCACCCACTTCTCCCACCTGCATTTCCTCCCAGGGGACTTGCTTTGCTGAGCTGTTTTGATGAAAGCCACCCACCACATATTTTCAGCACTCCAAGTCCCTGCACCTGAGCTGGGATTTAACCTAACAAAAGGTGTTTGCTCAAACTCGGGAATCAAGGTCTTTTTAATATAGATCAATTCTATAGATAATATAGATAGTATACAATTACATAGATAATATAGAACAAATTGAAGGAGCTGTTTGCAGGCAGACAGTTATACATAGAAGACACAAAAGAGGAAGAGGGAGAGGATGGAGTTTGGGGCACCTTGACAAAAATGTGAACATCCCCTTTGCTGCAAATTGCTGCCATTTCTCGAGCACTCACTGCGAGGCTAGCACCAGGACCACCCGTCATGCTTATTATTTCATTTCATCTTCACAGCCCCTCTAGGGAAAGTGTCATCATTACCATTTTGCAGATGAGAAACGTGAGGCTGAGGAAAATTAAACAGGTAGTAACAGCAGAGATGGGATTTGAATTCAGATCTGGATGATTCAATCCCGAGCTCCCAGGTACCACCTTCCATCCCCTTCCTCACCTCACAGTGCAAGTGTCCTTCCTAATCCAGGAGACAGTTCACGTAGGGTTCTGTGAGGCTTCTTTGTGTACAGGTAGAAGATGATGTGAATGAGTCTCAGCACACGGTGGTGTTGTCCCTACCCGCCCACTGGGGCTGGGGTGCTGAGGAGTAATCGTGTTGGTCAAGCAGAATGTGGATAGCATTATCTCTGTGGTAGACTTGCCACATAAAATATAGGACATTCAGTTAAATTTGAATCTCAGATAACAGAATATTTTGAGCATAAGTATATTCCAAATATTGCAGGAAACATACTAAAAAATTACTTGTAGTTTATATGAAATTCAAATTTAACTGGGCAGGCTCTATTTTTATTTGCTAAATCCAGCAATCCTACTCAGGGCCTTATCTAGGTGGGAGAAAGGAGCTTTGGTCCTTCATATAGCCTCCTAGGCCCTGGGATGGGGAAAGGCAAGTCCTCGGGGAAGCTGGTCCACCTCTAGCCTTCTACCCCAAAGATGGATGTCAGGACGCTGCCCAACAAGAGGCCATGCAAGGGCTCACTGCTGCCATTACCAGAGGAAGGGGTAAGATGACCTGAGAAATGATAGAAATACTTTAATGTACTTTCCAAAGCATTTTTCAAATCCCTCGCCTCGTTTAATCCACATAACAATTTTACTGACAGTTTAAAGAGGCAGGTCCAAAGAAGTTAAAGGACCTGCCCAACCACATGCAGCTGCTCGGGGTGGAGTTGGGTGGGGGCCTGGCCTGGGGCACATTTCCACTCCATCACCGCGGCCAGCATCTCCATGGTGGACAAGTCACTGTCATTGGGTGGGGACCATGACTAATAATGTCTCCTGAGCTTTCTGTCGTATGTGGATGGAAAACTGTTCATTTTTCAGGGTCAGCCTCACTTTAATCAGCCCCTTAACTTTCCCCTCCAGGCCAGACCTCCCCCACTTCCTCCTCCCAAGCCTAGCAACAAGAAGAATGTAATATTCTGAGTTCCAGATTCCGGTTCTGCATTCCACCTCCAAGAAGAACACCATCTCCACCTGCAGCCCTCACTTCCACACACTCCCAGTCCTCTGTGCTCTTGCTGATATGGACTCCCCACAAGGAAACTATGCAGCAAGACAGATTTGCATGGACATAGACCAAGGCTTTTCACATGCCTGGTGCCTCGAAGGCACCGGTATGTGTGTATTGCCTGTGAACAGATGGACAGCTCCATTCCTCATGTCCCAGTCACCCATGTGGGTTTACTGCAATGAATTTTACTCCTATTTTTCCCAATTTGATCACTGCCCTTTTATTTTATTAATAAAGAACTCCTGCTTAGTTTTGAAACATTCTGTCATGTGATAAAGTTCGGCTTATAAAGCAGCTATCATCTCAGAGGATACCCTAGGGGTGGCCAGGATAGAGACCTAAATATGGCTGGCCTTAAAGGGACCGCGTGCCATAGATCATAAACACTCAAGACCCAGTCAACCTCATGTGCATTCAACATGCTACACCTTTCAAAACTTCCACACTCAACTTCCCTGTCAGCTACATTATTCCCATTTTACAGAGAGGGAAACTGAGACTTGGAATGAGGCAGGCCTAGCCCAAGATCACATGAGGGCTAATGTCACATCCAGGGTTGAACTGTAAGTCTCCTGACATCACAGTTCCTCTCAGTGAGCCGACAGGAGTGAAATACTGGGTAGCTTCTTAGCAGAGGCTGCATTGATGACAAATTAGGAAGCTGCTTGTGGTGGTCTCCACCTCTTCTTGCCCCAGTCTTCCTCCTGCTTTCCTTCCTGGGAGCCAGGTACTCTTTTCCCTGCTAGCGCTATCATGTCCTCCCTCTCTCCTCTAAGACATCTTCACTGATCCCTGTCTCACATTGCCAGGTACAGGTGCTTTTTTATTAGTTATTAAACCTTATCAAACACTTCCATATGCAGTTTTCACAATACACTATGAAGAAAGCTAATTGTATTATACATTTTATAGGTGAGAAAACTAGCTCTGATGGTCCCTGGATCCAGAATCCGGGAGGGAGGGTTCACCCAACTCTCTTAAATGGGTAATAGCTGATTTCCAAACACCCTGGCTGGCTAGGGCAGTGGACTATGCTTTCAAAGGAGAGAGGAGACTTCCTGGCACCCCTCAAATCAGCCCCTCCAGATAAGGCGGGCCCTGGGAAGCTATGTGGAATGGTGACTTTGCCATCACCCCTCCCAGCCCCACTGCCCCAGCCTAGCCATGGGACTGTGTCCTGGCCAATCTGGAGTTCTGCATCTGCTCTCTCATCTTCAAAGGACCATGCTGTATTAAAAACCAGAAAGCCGGGCTCTGCATCTTCCCGTGCAGGGGAGCAGGCACCTGAGAGCAGGTGCGTGCCTGTGACTCCATCAGGGAAGGGAGGGTGCAGGCAAGACTCATTTCTGAAGCTGAGTCAAAGCTTGAGAAACCCAGCTCCACCCTGCAGGCAAACAATGGGGTGACTGGCAGAGGCCTGAGCACTGGGAGGGGACCTACCAGAGACAGTGTTAATAATTTAACTCTTAATCCAGACACATCTTTCTATTTGTCTCTGGATTTTGGAGAAAAGAAAGGTTGTTAATGACTCCATCTGGAGACAAATGGAACATATTTATTACGCCATTTCCAGGAATGAAAGAAGAAAAGACAAAAAGGAGCATCCTGGGTGAATCATGAGAGAGTTTTAGGGGAGGAGGACCAAGCTTAGTAGAGAAGACAGTGGAGGTTTGGGGCCAGGGTTCCTGAATTTTAGTTGTTTGTCCTGTAAAGTGAAAATTCAAAACTGAGCAAGTAGCATCTCATTTTAAAAATTATATTTAGCTGGGCATGGTTGCTCACGCCTGTAATTCCAGCACTTTGGGAGACCCAGGCAGACAGATGACTTGAGGCTAGGAGTTTGAGACCAGCCTGGGCAACATGGAGAGATCATGTCCCTACACAATAAATTTAAAAATTAGTCAGGCATAGTGGCACATGTCTGTCATCCCACCTGATCAAAAGGCTGATGCAGGAGGATCACTTAAGCCCGGGAGGTCGAGGCTGCAGTGAACCGTGATTGAGCCACTGCACTCCAGCCTGGGTGACCGAATGAGACCCTGTCTCAAAATATAAAATAAAATAAAATAAAATCAGAATAATGTAATATTTGATTTATCTTAATTTTGGGTTGATATTTAACCAGCAATCATGGCTTAGAAAATTTTAGTTTCGCGTTTCTCCCTTCACTGATTACTTAACAATCTGTCAACAGACACTTTAGAAGATGCTACTTAAGGAAACCTTGCAACTTTTTTGTTTTTTAATGTAGGAAGTCCATTTGCAACATGAATCATTTCACCCTCTAATTTATCTGTTTGCGTAGAAGATGTTTTGATACTAATGTTAGGTATTCTGTATGATAATTTTTTTTTTTTTTTTTTTTTTTTTGAGACGG